CGTGTCACCCTGTGTCACCTCATGTCACCCTGTGTCACCTGCGTCACCCTGCATCACTGCGTGTCACCTTGCATTGCCCCGCGTCACCACGCGTCACCCCATGTCACCCCACGTCACCCTGTGTCGTCCCACACCACCCTGCATCACCGCGCGTCACCCCATGTCACCCTGTGTCATCCCGCGCCACCCCGGGTCACCCCATGTCACCCCACGTCACTTCGCGGCACCCTACGTCACTGTGAGTCACCCTATGTCACCCTGTGTCACCCCACGCCACCCCAGGTCACCCCGCATCACCCCATGTCACCCCGGGTCACCCCGCGTCACCCTGCGCCATCCCGGGTCACTGTGTGTCACCGCGTGCCACCCCACATCACCGTGTGTCATCCCATGTCACCCCGCGCCACCCTGGGTCACCCCATGTCACCCTGCGTCACCCCGTGCCACCCCAGGTCATCCCACGTCACCCCTCGTCACCCCACACCATCCCGGGTCACCCCACGTCACCCTGCATCACCCCGTGTCACCCCGCACCACCCCATGTCACCCCACGTCACCCCTCGTCACCTCACGCCATCCCGGGTCACCCCACGTCGCCCTGCATCACCCCGTGTCACGTCACGTCACCCCATGTCACCCCTCGTCACCCCGTGTCACCCTGCGCCACCTCGTGTCATCCCGCATCACCGCGCGTCACCCCATGTCACCCCATGTTACCCTGCGTCACCCTCCATCACCCCGTGTCACTCTGCATCACCCCGTGCCACCCTGGGTCACCCCGCATCATCCCGCATCACCCCGCGTCACCCTGCGCCATCCCGGGTCACCTCATGTCACCCCGTGTCACCCCCTGTGTCACTGTGTGTCACCCCGCATCACCCCATGTCACCCTGCGCCACCCCACGTCACTCCGCATCACCTCATGTCACCCCACGTCACCCTGGGCCACCCCGTGCCACCCTGCGTCACCCCACGTCACCCCGCACGCTCCCGCCTTCCTCCTCCCTCTCCCCACGGGAAAAAGACCCGGGTGTTTTCCCATTGGGCGATTACCGCGTCCCCGTGGGAAAATCACCCGGGATTTTCCCACCTGGATGCCACCCCGTGGGAAAAAGATCCCAGGATTTTCCCACACGGATCCCGCCTCACGGGAAAAAGACCCGGGTGTTTTTCCATGTGGATGCCGCCCCATGAGAAGAAGATGCCACCATTTCCCCATGCCGCTGTGGGAAACCCATCCACTATTTTCCCATGCCACTGCAGGAAAACACCCGCTGTTTTCCCATGCTGCTGCAGGAATATGCCCGATATTTCCCCATGCCACTGTGGGAAAAACACCCAATATTTTCCCATGCCACTGTGGGAAAAACACCCGCTATTTTCCCATGTTGCTGTGGGGAAACCACCTGATATATTCCCATGCCAGCGTGGTATCTTCCCACACCGGTGTGGGAAACCCACCCAATATTTTCCCATGCCAGCATGGGAAACCCATCCGCTCTTTTCCTATCCCAGTGCGGGAAATCCACCCGCTATTTTCCCATGCTGGCATGGGAAACCCACTCGCTATTTTCCCACGCCGACATGGGAAATCCCCCTGCTATTTTCCCATGCTGGCATGGGAAACCCATCCG